AAAGAAATCCCAAATATATTTTTGATATAAGAACTAAACCTAAAAAAATTAAGCTGAAAAATAAGTGGTAGACAAAGCTATAAAGAAAAATGGAAAGAAGAAGAAATGAGGAAAATAGTCCTGATGTCAAAATAGAATTCAAGCCAAAACGAATGACAAGGGCATTTTTTAATACTAAATTGACAATTTACAAACATCTCAAATTTGTGAATAATTATGCACCAAATAACACAGCAACTGTTCTCATTAAGCAAAAAATACAGTAGATGCAAGAATAAATAGATGGAAACCCACTAAAAATAGTAGACTCAAATATAGCATTCATAGGACAAGTCAAATCAAATGAACAAAAAGCACAAGACATAAGCAACATAACCAGCAAGGTAGATCTTACAAGCCTATGTCAGTTTCTACAGGTGATAATAGAGAATGTACCTTATGAAGTGTTCATGGAACATTTATAAGAATTAACCACATATTAGATTTTTAAAAATCACTGCTTCGTACAGTACAAATATTTCAAACACCACTCTCTGATTACAGTATGACAAAGTTTGAGATTACTGACAACATGACAGCCCTTAAATCTATAAATTTTAAACACTTCTATTAAATAATTCTTCAATCATGCAAACTAAAATTACATAATTTTAATAATATAAAATGAAAACACTACTGATATGGTTTGGCTGTGTCCCCACCCAAACCTTGAATTGTAGCTCCCATAAATCCCATGTCACTGGGCGCAGTGGCTCACGCCTGTAATCCCAACACTTTGGGGGGCCGAGGCGGGTGAATCATGAGGTCAGGAGATCGAGACCATCCTGGCTAACACGGTGAAACCCCGTCTCTACTAAAAATACAAAAAAAATTAGCCAGGTGTGGTGGCACGCGCCTGTAGTCCAGCTACTCGGGAGGCTAAGGCAGGAGAACCACTTGAACCTGGGAGGCAGAGATTGCAGTGAGCCGAGGTTGTGCCACTGCACTCCAGCCTGGGTGACAGAATGAGACTTTGTCTCAAAAAAAAAAAAAAAAAAAAATCCCACATGTCTTGGGAGGGACCCAGTGAGAGGTAACTGAATCGTGAGGGTAGGCCTTTCCTGTGCTGTTCTTGTGATAGTAAGTCTCACAAGATCTGATGATCTTACAAAGGGGAGTTCCCCTGCACATACCCTTTCTTCTTCCCTGTAGCCATGTACAATGTGACTTTGCTTTTCCTTTGCCTTCTGCCATGATTGTGAGGCCTCCCCAGTCTGTGGAACTGTGAGTCCACTAAATCTCTTTCCTTTATAAATTACCCAGTCTCAGGTATGTTTTTATTAGCAGCGTGAGAACAAACTAATATAACTACATACCAAAAAATCTATGGAACACGTTTAAAGCCATGATCAGAGTAAATTTCATAACATTGAACATTTCTAACAAATGCTACAGTGAAGTAAAAGAATGAAAATATTTAAATAACAGATGAAAAAATTTTAAAAAGATATGATAAAACAAAAGAAAGAACCAAGGAAGAAATAAAGGTATACATCAATGAGGTAGAAAATGATGAAACCATAGACCTAATCAACAAATCAAATCTATGCTTTAAAAAAATATAATAGACAAGCCACTAGCCTACCTGAGAAGAGAAAAAGGGGAGAAATCATAATATGTAAAATAAGAAATGGAGATACAACCACATAAATTTAAAAATAAAATAAGATACTACATTGCAGACAGCTATGCAAATACATTTCAAAACCTAGGTGAAATAGATTTTTTATTTTTTTAGGGAAGTACACATTGCCAAATTTGAACCTGTTAGACTTAGAATGACTCCAGACAAGATTTCTGGGGGAGATGCTGCCATCCCAACTGGGCCTAGAGGGCAGGGCATTAAGCCAAAAATGATTGTTTCTTGAGCTTTAAGATCTAATGAAATATGCCTTACTAAGTTTTGGGTTTGCTTAGGATCTTTTATGTCTTTTTTTCCCTATTTCTCCCTTTTAGAATGTGAATGTTTTTTCTATGCCTGCTTATCACCATATTTTAAAACATAACTTGTCTAGTTTTACAGATTCACAGCTGGAGAAGAATTTTGCCTCTAGTCTAATTCATATCTGATTTAATGAAATTTTGGACTTTAGACATTAGAATTGATGCTGGAATTAGTTAAGACTCTGGGGGCTGTTAGGATGTAATAAAAGTGTTGTATATATGAGAAGGACATGAATTTGCAGGGAACTGGGGCAGAATGCTATGGACTGAATTATGTCACCACAAATGTATATGTTGAATGAAGCCCAAATTCTCAGTATGACTGTATTGAGAGACAGGCTTTTAGGAAGTTATTAGGTTAAGTGAGGTCGTAAGATGATAGGATTGGTACCCTCAAAGGATGAGCCAGAGATCAAAGCAGTCTCTCTCTGTGCCATGTAAGGACACAGTAATAAAGCAGCAACCACAAGACAGGAAGGGAAAGATTACCAGGAACTGAGTCCGCCGGCACCTTGATCTTGGACTGCTCAGATTCCTGAATTGTGAGAAATAAATTTCTGTTGTTTAACCATCCACTCTATGATATTTTGTTATGGCAGCCTGAGCTGACTAATATATTGCATCAATGTTAGTTTTCTATTGTTGGTAACTGTACTCGGCTTAGGAAAAGCTGAATGGAGAGTATATGGGAACTATTTTTGCAACTTTTCTATGAATTTAAAATCCTTTCAGAATAAAAAGTTATACAAATAAATTCTCAGAGCAATCTCTCCTGTTGATTCTGATGCATGCTAAAGTTAGAGAATGACTACACTGGACTAATAGTCCTTGCCTCTTCCCCTCTTGTTATTTTTCCCCATAGAGGTGACATTCATTTGTCTATATTTCTCAAGTGGGACAAGCACCAGATTACTGTTCCATTGGCTTTTCTCTTTACCCCATATCTGTGCTTTACAAAATCAAAGTTTCACTCAGGTTGGCTTTTACAAGGTCTTCACTTAGGGCAGGAGTGAGAGAAAAATGGTAGAAAGCTGCTTTGGCCAAAGTTCTAGAACCATATTTTCCAATTCTTTATCAGTAATAAAGCTAACATTTGCCTTTTTCTGCTTCTGTCTTTCTAGTAGTTTTAAGTGTATAAGGTGCAGTCCTCCCTAAAACCCCCACACCTTAGTCTAATCAGTTGTGATGGAGAAATACGAGGTCACACGATTTGTACAGGGCTTCTATTTCAGTGCAGGCGGTGGGGAGGGCAGTTTTTCTTAAGTAATTCATGAGCGGGTAGGAAAGTACACTACCAAGGGATTTTAACTCATTTAAAATAGGGAACTATATCTAAGACCATAGAGACATGTTCCTAAAATTTTATGTAAAAACATGACACAAAATTATATCCAACATGCCAAGACAAGTCAATGGGCAAAGAATAGTCTTCTTAATAAATGTTCTGGGACAACTGGATATCCACACACAAGAGAATAAAGCTTGGCCCTTTCCTTATATAATGCACAGAAATTAACTCAAAATGGATAACAGACCTAAAACATGTAAGAGCTAAAGGTGAAATTTTCAGAAGAAAACATAGGAATGATCTTGGGTTAGGCAAAGCTGTCTTAGATGCGACACCAAAAACACAAGTGACCAAGAAAAGATAAACAGGACATCATCAGAATAAAAAAAAAATGTGCTTCAAAGGAAGTGAAGACAACTATCAAGAAAATGAAAACCCACAGAATGGGAGAAAATGTTTTCAAATCGTGTATCTGATAAGGGAATTGTATCCAGAATATATAAAGAATTTCTACAAATCAGTCATAAAAGGATAAGTAAACTAATTTGAAAAGGGGCAAAGGATCTGAATGGACATTTCTCCAAAGATGATAAATAGATCATCAAAAAGCATATGAAATGATGCTCAACATTATTAGCCACTTGGGAAATGCAAATCAAAATCACAGTGAGATACCACTTCACACCTACTAAGATGGCTATTATCAAAAGTCAGATAATAACAAGTGTTCACAAGGATGTGGAGAAATTAGAACCCTCATATTTTGCTGCTGGGAATGTAAAATGGTGCAGCTGCTTTAGAAAATAGTCTGGCAGCTCCTCAAAAAGTGAAGCAAAGTAGCTATTTGCTGTAAGAATTCTACTCTTAGGTATATACTCCAGATAACAGAAAACACATTCTCACAAAAACTTGTACACAAATATTTAAAGTAGCATTATTCATAATAGTCAAGAAATAAAAGTCGATGGATGAATGGATAAATAATATGTGGTATATCCACACATCAGAGTATTTTTCATCAAAAAGTAATGAAGTATTGGCCAGGCGCAGTGGCTTATGCCTGTAATCCCAGCACTTTGGGAGGCCGAGGATGGCAGATCGCTTGAGGCCAAGAGTTTGAAACCAACCTCGCCAACATAGTGAAACTAAAAATACAAAAATTAACCAGGCATAGTGGTGTATGCTTGTAATCCCAGTTACTCAGGAGGCTGAGGTGGTAGAACTGCCTGAACCAGAGAAGTGGAGGTTGCAGTGAGCCAAGATCACACCACTGCACTCCAGCCTGGGCAGCACAGTGAGACTCCGTCTCAAAAAAAAAAAAAAAAAAAAAAAAAAGGTAATGAAGTACTGCTATATGTTAAAACATGGATGAACCTTGAGAATTATGCTATGTAAAGGAAGCCAGCCACAAAAGAACGTGTATTGTATGATTCTATTTTTTTTTTATATATTTTTTGAGACAGTATCTCACTCTGTCACCCAGACTGGAGTGTAGTGGCGTGATCTTAGCTCACTGCAACCTCTGCCTCCCAGGTTCAACTGATTTGCCTCAGCCTCCTGAGTAGCTGGGATTATAGGTGCCCACCACCACACCCGGCTACTTTTTTTTCCTTTGGTAGAGATGGGGTTTTGCCATGTTGGCCACGCTGGTCTGTCTCAAATGCCTGACCTCAGGTGATGGCCCCACCTCGGCCTCCCAAAGTTCTGTGATTACTGGCATTAGCCACTGCACTCAGTCATATCATTCTATTTACATGAAACATCCAGAATAGGCAAATCCATAGAGACAGAAAGTAGTACATTAGCAGCTTCCCAGGGCTGGAGGAATGTTTGGGAGATGTGGAGTAAAGTGACTGCTAAGGGTATGTGTAAGGAACATGGCTGTGCTTCGGTCAAGGATAGGCTGAGGTAGGATGTTTACATTTTGCATGACTCAGCGAGTTCAGAGCACAGCCCGTATAACTCCACTTGTTATCACAGCCATGTAGCCATAACATGGGAAGGCCATCCCTTGGCTCTACGCCATTATTGTCTGTAAAAGGTATAATTGCCCTCACACATAGCCTTAGCAGACACTAAAGAGAGAGCGAGTCAGAGCTGTCCGTCTTTGCAGATGGACAGAGGGGAGCTAGGACACAGCTCGGCTGGCTTGTGCTCAAAGAGAGAAAGAGTTAAGCTGCTGACCCTGAAGCTAAGGGAGAGCCAGCCATACAGCTGCAGGAGTGGGGGCGGCAGGAGCCACAGAGCCGGAGTAGGCACCAAGATAAAGGCGAGCAGTGTAGAGAACTAGTGTAAGAAAGCTGTTGATGAGAGCTGCTGCTGAATAAAATCATCTTTCTCCTGCCTACAGCCCCCCTAGTGTTCTTCCTGCTCATCTACCCACTCCCTTCGGACCTCAACATGACATTTGGTGTAGTTGTGAACCTGACAGTATGTGGCTTCTTTTGGCTAACGAAAATGTTTTAACTGGTTGTGGTAATGCTTCCACAACTCTGTGAGTACATGAGAAGTCACTGAATTGTACACGTTAGATGGGGGAATTGTATGGTATATGAATTATATATTCACATGAATCTATGCATCGATACCTGCTTTTTTTTAAAGAGTACTGAGGAAAAAAAATAAAAACCCTATACAACTATATTAAACAAAAACTTAACCACAAAATCTTTAAAATATTCACTGTGATTATTTCTAGGTGATAAAATTAAAGGTTATTACTTTCCCCCTTTCACTGCTACTATATTTTCAACATGCACAAATACTGTTTTTAAAGAGAAAAAATAAACCTTCATTTTAAGTGATTAAAACAGAGAAAACACTGGTTAATATAACAAACTTCTCAGCATGCCAAATAGAGCTATTTGCAGTGAAAAATATCAACATAAAAGACATATTTATCAAATTCTGGGATGGCAATGTCTTGGGGCTGGAGTACATCTGACCCACGTGTGGGTTAGCCATGAATGATTGACACACCTGCTGGGCCACTGTTGAGAAAGGTCTCCTTTCTAAATACCACTTTGATTGGCATCAAGAAGCCTGGAACTGGAGTCAAAACATATGGAGCCCCTTACTATGTTGAGACTTCAGTTTCCTCATCTGTAAAATGTGGAGAGAAAATAAATAAGGTGCAATTGGATCCAACTGAACTACATCAGTAGTTCTCAGCCCTGCAGAATCAGCCTCCTCTGTGAACTTAATAGAAATGTAAATTCTCAGACTCCACCTGCAACCTACTGAATCAGAAACTCTAGGAATGAAGGGCAGCAACTGGTGGTTAAGCAAACCCTCCTTGTGACTCTGATGCATGACAGATTTGAAAACTACTAATCACTATTTCTTAAGGGGTTGATGACAAAAATCACCATTCAGTACCTGGGGAATATTTTCAAATCACATATCTCCAAATCATAGGCATTTTGAAATGCCCCTTTAAGGCCTTCTATATTCTCTTCCAAACATGTACACACATGCACACACACACACACACTCTTCAATTGCTGCCATAATTAGCCACCATCACTCATAACCATGCCTCTCTCTCAGGTGTCAAGGAATAGTCAAAACCATTTAAAACCTTCATACAGATTTCCTCTAATTTCTTTCAATTCCAAAATCCTGTGGTCTAGCAGAGTGAAAGGAACCACCCCACCGAGCTGGAATAGCTAACACTGTAATTTCTGGCAAAAGCCAGTAGACATCTTTTCAGTTGGGAAGGCATTTTAGCACTTTGGAATTTACACCCCCTTCTTTTTGGAGATGCCTCCTGTTGCAAATGCTTATTCCTACCTTTATTGTATCTCTGTCTTGTTCATAACACTTTTCATCTCTTACATTTAACTCCAGACATCTTCAAAAACTTCCTGCTGACAGATTAAAATATTCCTACCTCCTGTCTTCTTCCTCACCCAGTTCTACTTTTCTTAATGTCTGTTGTAGCATTTTACGGCCAAAAGCTAGCTGTGATTTTGAGGAATTGGTATGTCATTTAAAATTAACTGTATACCTCAGCAGCATGTAGGAGGAGTTAATTCTTTCACGTAACATTCAATTAAAATACACAATGTACACACACTTAAAGAGAAAGGTGATATAAAAGCAGAAATTCTAAACATTGCTTTGCCTATCTGAAGGAATCTAAATTTATATTTTGTCTGCTAATTTATTTGCTTGTCACCACTGATCTTTTCTAAGAGGCCCAATTTCTTTGCCCAGCACTTTTTTTTTTTTTTTTTTTTTTTTTTTTTTTGCAATACCCAGGAATTTCCGTAAGTGCCCTCATCTGAAAACTACACAGAAAATGTTTGCAGGCTGAGCAAGGAAGGAAGAGAAGATGGACCTCAAGTTGAATATCTTTTCTCACCTTTAGAATACAGCAAAAATAAGGAGACGCAATTTGTTATACTCACATTGTTGAAAAGATTAGCAGAAGTAATCTCCCTTAGCTACAGGCAAAGACACCAACAAAGAGCTTGCTTCATCTGCCAACTGTTCTATGTCTTAAGGGAATGTGTTGATTCACTGAATGACTGAACTAAGCTATTTGCAGGATATATGAATATTGCCTCTAATCCAGGTGCTAAATGTATATGTTGCAGGACTGTGTTCTCTGTCAAACACGATCTGTAACATGATAACAGCACTATCTCTTTTCCTCCCTTCTCTACTTATTTTTCTGTAGCTGAAGAGAAAGATTCTGTCACCTATCAGTAATATTTGGACCTTTTACGTAGTTTTTGCAATTCAGCCTACAAGACATTGATGGACCTCATGATTTTGTCAGTTTGCTCAAAGAATTTTAACATCATAATAAGATGGTATTTTTGTATTTATTCATTCCTGTCAAACCAGAGATCTGGAAAAGTATGTCCATAACACATATTAAATCAACTGGGAAAGGCAGACCATTCAAACACACTTGTTTTGCTTTCTAAAATAATCTGGTAGCCCGTTTTACCAAGGACAAATGTGAAGTTAATTTGTCTTTGAAGTCCTCTTGTTTCCACTTCCTCCTTAGCTCTTCTGCTACTAAAAATATTTGGTGCCTCAACTCTATTATAGTTCTTTGCTTTCTTCTGAACAGATTTAATATACCCCAGGGATATTTTTAATTCCTCTCTGTCCCCAAAACTTTATCAAACTAAAGGACTGTATTAGTCGGATTTGTGTTGCTTTAAAGGAATACCTGACACTGGGTCATTTGTAAAGAAGAGGTTTATTTTGTCTTATGGTTCTGCAGACTGTACCACAAGCATGACACCCACATCTGCTTGGTTTCTGACGAGGCCTCAGGAGGCTTTTACTCATGGTGGAAGGCAAACAAGAAGCAGGCAGTCACATGGTGAGAGAGGGAGCTAAAGAAATGCCAGTATCTTTTAAACAACCAGCTCTCACATGAACCAATAAGGCAAAAACTTATTACCATGTGGAGAGCACTGAGCCATCTTGAGGAATCCTCCCCCATGACCCTAATAGATCCCACCAGGCCCCACCTCCAACATTGGGAATCACATTTCAACTTGCTATTTGGAGGGGATAAATATATAAACTACATAAAGGACTAAAAAAATAATAGTAGAACCATACTGGGTTTGAAACCCTACCTTATGCCCACAACTTACCCAATAGCAATCTGTTGCCTCAAAAGATTGGTCTAAGCACCTCTTCCTTTCAATTATTTAGTCATCTTTTTGTCTGTCTTGTAGAATCCTGAACAGATGCACTGTAGCTTTGGTGGTTTCATAGGATGTCAAGGAATGTTTATCCCCTAGGTCTCTTCCTATCCTCCTCATATTTGCTACAGAACATATCCTTACTTTTCACTCCATACTCAATTACAGTAGCAATGGAGATACTGAGATGGGTATTACCAAACGGGTGCTGGGCGATCAGATGCTCACTCACTACAGTGAAATGGATGACACCTTGGCTTCACATCTTAGCTCTGCCACACATAGGCTACATGAGCCTGTGTAAGCCTTAGTTTCTTTTTACCTGTCAGATACTGTATTAGTCCATTCTTAAAGAACTGCTCAAGGCTGGGTAATTTATAAAAGAAAGAGATTTAATTGACTCACAGTTCAGCATAGCTGGGGAGGCCTCAGAAAACAATCATGGCAGAAGGTGAAGGGGAAGCAAGGCACCTTTTTCACAAGGTGGCAGGAAAGAGAATGAATGCAGGAGGAACTACCAAATGCCTACAAAACCATCAGATCTCACGAGAGCTCACTATCATGAGAACAGCATGGGGGAACTGCGCCCATGATTCAATTACCTCCACCTGGCCTCTCCCTTGACACAAGAGGATTATGGGGATTACAGTTCAAGTTGAGATTTTGGGTGGGGACACAGCCAAACCGTATCACATACTAATAACAATTCTAAGATAATGCTATGAGAATTCACTTGTTTTCAAAGTGCCAGGAAGCATATTCAGTATTAGTTCTTTCCTTTTTTGTCCTCCCCCAATTTCTATCATTGGTAAATATAGTTAAGATTTGGCATATTAACCATCATAACAGAATCCCTGACCTCAAGGACACTACTAATGGCATAAGACTAAGCTTCTTCTAGTGGTAGAATTTTTTTAAAAAAATATAGCTTAAGAAAAAAAAATTATTTCCCTTTCCTTACCTATGTTTCCCAGAAAGAACAACTAATTGCTAAAATAATGACTTCTACTCATTGCCACTCTCTGTTACCTGGCTTAAGCTTTTCAATATCACTAAACTTGTTTTTCCTCTATCTGGGAAAGTACTAACTAGAATACTGAAAACCTTCAGAAACCATATTTTGCATTTTCACTATTAGTGTGGAAATCAAAATACTTGTGCTATAAATGTGAATGCTATTAAAACTGCAAATAAATTTTAAAGCCCATAAAATGCGAAGATTGGACTCCATAAGCATAGATACTCCCTAGATTTTTACATATTACGGGCTGAAATGTTTTTCACTATTTAATCTGAAGACCAGACGTTTTCTCTATCTGCTTGGCTATATTTATATATATATACAGCCAATCAAGATAAACATAATCTTGAGGACGTGGTGCAATTGTCAGAGTTAATGACCTTCAACATTACCAACAAACATATCTTTGGCATTTATTTACCTGGAATAAGTATAATGCAGAAGACCAATTAAGAATGTATTTCTCTAGATCCCGGAGCAGCTACTATTTGCTGGGTTAAAAAATGAAACTGGAGCTCTCAGAGGTTATCAAACCTACGGATTTTGTGTTTTTCAAATTATTATCATATTGTACTATATTTTTGTCTCACATTTAAATTAGTGAGGTCATATGAAACTAAAACTCTGGCAGTTCTCTTGGGGAGGGATTGATTGGAGAAACTTCCACTTCTAAATAATCACCTTCTGTAATATAACAGAGAAAGGTATAAAAAGGGGACACAGGGTACCATTTCTAACTTGTACCAATTATCCTCCTTCACAACCATTAGCCACAACAGACATAATTTGTTGATTTTCAGGAATCCTGAAAAGCAATATAAAACACAAAGCAACACACTGTTTACTTGGTTCAATTCTCATTTCTCAAATGTTGAAAATGTCACCTCATGTCCAGAGAGTTGAGGCTTGTTTTCAAATCTATGGGTCCAACAGATTGATTTTCTCAGTGATTTCTTTTTCTAAAATATGACTTTTTATATATAGCATCAGAACAATGTCAAGGTAGATACAATTATATTTGTGATTAAAATCCAAACAATGGCCAGTTCTTCTAAGTAGCCATTTCTGATCACCATGCAAGTCCTCTGTCTGTCACCTTCCTTCAAAAAGAAGCTGTATACATGAGAAACAGGAAGCATGAAATTGTTTACCTGATAGGAAAGCCTAGTGTGTAATGAAAAGTTACAACTTGTCATTGGAAGGAAGGAAGAAAGGTAGGACACAAAGAAAGAGGGGAAGAAAAGGAAAGATGGACAGACAGAAGGAAGAAAGGAAAGGAGGAAGGAAGTAAGGGAGGAAAAAGAGGAAAGAATAAGAATAGAATAGAATAGAATATTCTAGAATAATTTCATTCTGTTTATATTTCCCTAGGTTTTCCAATGTCGTAACTGACAAACCCTGTGCAACATTGAACTCAACGTTCTTAAAGTGTTAGACTTGGCCGGGCGCAGCAACTCACGCCTGTAATCCCAGCACTTTGGGAGGCTGAGGCGAGTGGATCACAAGGTCAGGAGTTCAAGACCAGCCTGGCCAATATGGGGAAACCCCATCTCTACTAATAATATAAAAATGATCCGGGCATGGTGGCATGTGCCTGTAGTCCCAGCTACTCAAGAGGCTGAGGCAGGAGAATTGTTTGGACCCGGGAGGCGGAGGTTTCAGTGAGCTGAGATCCTGCCACTGCACTCCAGCCTGGGTGACAGAGTGAGACTCCATCGGAAAAAAAAAAGTGCTAGACTTGCCCTGATAAGACAAAAGCTCTATAATCCATCCTAGGAATACATGAATCTCTAGTGCCAAGTTCACCAGCATTATTAAGAAGAAATTAAGGTCTTAGAAGCTACACCTATGAGCATTTCTTTAATTAGTGACTGAAAGATGACAATTTTTCTTTTATTACCCAAGTTGAAAGAATTACTGAAATTATAAATGCAGAAATATAACTTAGATTTTAACTAAATGCTAATGTTTTGTCTACAAGGTGGTTCCAAAGTGGTAATGTTAATGAGCATTCTATTTCCTAATATGATCAAGGAATGGCTCTCTAAATCTCTCCAGGGACCCGGTAACATTTTATACCTGCTTCATCACCTTTCATCAATATTCATAGACACATTTATAATTTTCAAAACATGAATAGAGCCCTATTGGTGATACAGAGAAAAATACCAAAATTAGTTCTTGTAAGGGCAGTATTATGAAGGAAATATGCCCTTAGAGACCCTCTGTTCCTGCTCCATCCCATCCCTGATCAGTGTCTCTTCCCCCAGATGAATAGTGCCTTCCTCCTGCCCACTGTTACCCAGAGCCCTCAATAACTCTTGATGTTCTGCTTCCCTTCTTCTCTATTTCCAAAACATCTTGCTACAATGCTAAAATGATTGTAATAATCTAATTTGCATGCACACATTAATGGTTTATATGAGTTGCATGTGTTCTCCCTCCCAGGTAACATGTTTACATACTTGCATTTTTGCTTGAGTTTCCAGGGCTTTCATCTAAAGGAGGAACCTCACAATTTCAAGATGGTATTTGCTGACTTTAATAGAGCTGGGGGCTAATTCACAGACAATCTCATATGCAGTCACTGGCAGGAAGAGCAACTTCACTCCACCTCCTTTTGCCCGAAAGATGAAAAATAAATAATCAGTTTCTCAAAATGATTCTGCAATGGTGAGTCCACCCTGAACAGCAGAAGCACGCTGTTTGGGTGACAGCCTTTGGAAAAACACGCCAGCCCCTGTTAGCACATGTGGCAAAAGTCTAGATGTATTTGTCACTCTGACAGCACTGCCAGGCAAGTGTCCCTCTGTCGCTACACGGGATGAAAGGTGTGGACAGCCCGTCCAAACATGGAAGAACACCTTCAGTAGTTATTGATTCCAGGAGAGGAGGTCTCAGAAGAGGGTACACCCTTCCAGTGCCCTAAACTGAACATTGCTAGGGCTGGGGATAGAAATACCACTGGGGGTCCGTTTGCCATTCCCCACTCTGCAAACTTTTGGGCATCGTCCATTTTACTCTTTATTGTCTATCCTGTTAAACAGCAGTGTGAAAGGAGGACTCATTTCAAAGGGATCTAAGAAAATTATCCTCTTGTCATGCAGAGCTTAAGGTTAAAGAATAAGACATTTACAGTGCTAATTGTTTTTCAAAGAAATAATCTGTAACTACTTGCAAGATTTTTTTTTCTCTAAGTCCCCTCACTTCAGATATCTATTATATAGAATTGTTTGGTGGCACAGTTTTGTACAGAAGACACTGTTTTATCAATATTTTTCCCTTCTTAAGTAACTGTGGAACCATCTGGCATACAGTAAACAGGCTTATGCATTAACACTGCACTCAGGAAACCTTGCAGTTAGCAATTAATTTTATCCCTGAATAATGCAGTAGAAATGATAATCGATGGGACAAAAATGGACAGTATTGGAAAAGAGCTTGAAAAGCATCATATGTCCACAGATGTAGGGGTTCCTAGGCATTCGCTCAGATCAGAAATCAAATCAATGTCAGATTATCTTATATTTTATGGATCCTTGTTGGTTGCATAAATGGCAGCCCACTGATCATAAATTCCATGCAGTCTTCCTTTAATGACCTTAATGGGTTGCCATTATTTTACTGTGCTATCATTCAAAAAAAGCCCATCTGGTATTCATAAATAGATGCAGTGGAGTATGGACTTTGACAGATATAAATGCAACTGAAGAATATCTTCAGATCAGGCAGAATCAGGAGCTTCTCTGACAAAACACCCTCAATGGGTTTCCATGATTCTTTTGGTAAATGAATCAACCTAAATGTCCACCATTAGGGACTGGTTAAGCAAATCATGGTTCTTTTACATGATGGATTATTATTTTTAAATATTTATTTAAATTCAAGTATTTTGAAAAATATTTAAATGGCAAAAGCATGATACAAACTGCATGTGTACTATAATCTCTACCACATAACCAAATTGCACAGAACTATCAGCGAATAACTTTCACTCTTCCAGTCTCAGTTTCTTCTCCTCTCTAATGAGAAGTGTCCCAGTTGGAGTTCCCCCAGAGCATACCCACCCTGATCAAGTGTTTGAGTGCAGGCTGTTTATCAGGGCAATGACTTCAGGAGGCCCGGCGAAGAGTGAGTGGGGAAGTGAAATCGAGAAAAGAAAAAAGGGTGCTGATCAATGTGTTAATTCTGAAACACTAAAGACAAATCCTGCAGGAGCTCCTCTGAGATGATCACTACTCAGAATTTCCCACTGTAGTATTCGTTCATTAGCACTCATTCCTTATTCCTTGCCATTTGTTCCTTGGGCACTTAGGCCTGTACCATGTGGACCAGGCAGCTTCCGCAGCCAGAGGACACCCACAGGCAGAGAGCTGCAGGAAACCTTCCAAGCATGGAACCATCTCCAGGTTGGGCCAACCAGAATGTAGGCAGAGTCAGACAGAATCTGCTGGAAGGTGACTGGATTAGATGACTTCTAACATGCCTTCAATCCCTGAAAGCTTATTTAACAGAGAGGGGTGGGGTTGAACGCTATAGTATTACATCTTTAGAATTTTTGGCAATAAGCTTTAGAAGCCTGTGACCACAGTTGTAAACTAACCCTCAATCCCATCAGGAAGTCTGAAAGACAGTGTAGGTTATACCCCTGGAATATGCTGAATAAACAGAATTGAGGTTTTTATCCACTAACGACCATCAGTTATGTCTTGAAGACTCTTCCAAGTAGAGCATCAGCCCCCCAGCATTTGTGGCTGATGCCACAGGTAAGCAGAGCTGACTTGGGTGGCCAGAAAGTACCCTCAGGCAAAGAGCTATGGTGCTTGGTGTTCAAAGTCAGCCAGCTTGCATGGAAGTTGTGCTGACAAAGGTATATATGGTGCACTGAGAACATCTGCTCTAAAGGAGATCAATTTGTTAAGCCCCAATGGTATATGCAGATTTGAGAACTCTGTGATGTATCGTGTACATAGTCTGTAGATTATTCTAGATTGTTCTACCTGCAGAGGCCACTGGGGGAAAAAACCCAAATGTGAACACTTCCAAACAAATTCAAGCTTATTGCCTCCATCAAGCATCTCCTAATCAGCACAGCCAAGCTTCTTCATTTTCTTCAAACTGTTTTTTATGAAGGTTTTGTCTCTACCACCCATTCAGAACTTACTGCATTCTTTTTTTGTTTTACAAGAAAATGGATGACTTATCTTCCTAACTATATTGTAAGTTTCTGCAGAAAAGAGTCTCTGTCTTACTATTCTATGCCATTCTCAGTGCCTAGCACACAGCAATATTCTACAAATACTTGTTGCCTTGAATAAACTGTAAAAAGTAAGTATAGAAAATACTAAAAAGAAATATGTTTGAAAATGGTATCTATGGCTAGTGGAATTGTTTTCTGTCTTTTCCTTTGCTTTCTTTTAACTTTTTTTCAGAAAAGCAATATGTGCTCTTGTAGAGAATTTGGAAAGTATGGAAAGAGTAATGAAAAAAACTGCTTGTCTAACAATGAAAAAAGCAAAGAAACTAGCTACTTCTTAAAATCAAATTTAGTCCCATATTCAGCACTAGATCTATCTAATATCAGAAGCTTCAATATTCAAATAACTTAGAAATTGGTTACATAAGTGATCATTATTTTTATCTGCCCATCTAAAATAATAGTGCCATATTTCATCATAGAAAAGAAATGGTAAGATTAAATAAATGACATAAATAACCCATCCATGTTCATTTCCATCCTGTCCAACTTTCTTTACTCATTGCTTTTGGTCCTCTCTATATCATATAGAATACTTCTAGGTGCAAAGCTTGCCTTATTTAATTTGGAAACCAAAATACACTTTAGTGTAGTGCTAAGCTTGAGAATGAGCTTCTTTGAACTGTGACGATCCTTCTTAATTTCAATGTATCATTATAACTACTAATTTAATTTTTCATGTATTAGTGACACCTGGGTTTCAATATGCACATTATTAACAATTAATGGTCAGATTTAGGATGGGACACTCTAATTTTAATAAAAGGCTTCACAGGAAAGGTCAGTGAACTCTACAGAATCAATAATTTATAAGCAGCCTTTGGTTTTCACTGAAATATTTATGAATGATAACATTATTTTGACAAGGCAAAGTTCAACATGGAGGCCATTTCTGACAACATGACATGGTTTCATAAAAATTCCCAGGAATAATTAAAATAAGGCAAAAAAACTACCAGAGGAAATAGATTTTTCCATTTTAAACTCTCCAAGCAATGACAGACATTGATGTGAACACCCAGATGATTATATATGTAACATCTTTTCGGGGTAAGTCCAAAAGAGGCAGCCAAGAATAAAGTCTGAGATAAATACACATATAAGAAACTAAAACTATTCTCCAATGTCTTAGCAAGCAGATGTTTGTGTGTTTCTACATTGTAAGAATAACAGTCAAAAAGCCGGCTATACACATTAAGAATCAGGTCAACTTTTTTTTTTTTTTTTTTTTTTTGAGATAGTATTACCTATCCCTCCTGCAACCAAATTGACATAACAGAAACTTACTGTGTCATGTTATTTAACACAACTCTAGCAGAAATATAGATGGTTACATTAAGAATATTCACACGATGGGCATAGTGAATTAGGGCCACCGTCTTGGGGATCACAGGAAGAAAGAGCTGCCTATCAAACTCTTTTCTACAACATATGTATAAAATTAGCCCTTATACCTTGGCAATACTGCCAAGCATAGAGGTGGGCTTCTTTTTCCATATAGCCTCAGTCTGACAGCTTTTGATGTTCGTTTTAACATAATTTCACATGCATGCAAACAGGAACCAGGAGGAAGCCATTCACAAATGGAGTGGGCTCAGTCTGATTTGCTGCTGATCTTAAACAGCCCAAACCTGCTTAGGCCCCACCATGGTATGTCAAATTGACAAGGCCTTAGTGTTCTACAGGAACTACATTCTGTTTGGAGAGTAGAAATAGGCATGGTGAAATGAATTCAACAACCTTAGAGATCAACAGCTTGGTTTACTTTCTTTGCATATCCTCCCGTAATAGAAAACATGTCTCGGTCTCTTCAGTAAATGGTGCTGGGAAAACTGGATATCCATATGCAGAAGAATGAAACTAGACCCCTACCTCTCACCGTACACAAAAATCAATTCAAAATGAATGAAAATCTTAAATACAAGACCTGAGGCCGGGCACGGTGGCTCGCGCCTGTAATCTCAGCACTTTGGGAGGCAGAGGCGGGTGGATCAAGAGGTCAGGAGATCGAGACCATCCTGGTTAACATGGTGAAACCCTGTCTCTACTAAGAATACAAAAAATTAGCCGGGCACGGTGGCAGGCACCTGTAGTGCCAACTGAGGCAGGAGAATGGTGTGAACCTGGGAGGCGGAGCTTGCAGTGAGCCGAGATCGTGCCACTGCACTCCAGCCTGGGCGACAGAGCAAGACTCTGACTCAAACAAACAAACAAAACATGGGCAAATGAGTTGAATACACATTGCTCAAAAAGAAAAAAATACAAATGGCTGATAGGTATATGAAAAAATTCTCAACATCACCAACCATCAGGGAAATGCAAATCAAAACCACAATGAGATAGCATCTTATTCCAGTTAGAATGGCTTTTATCAAAATGACAAAAAATTAATAAATGCAGATGAGGATGAGGATAAAAGGGAACTCTCACATACTCGTGGTAGGAAAGTAAATTAGTACAGCCAATAGGGAAAATAATATGGAAGTTCCAAAAACAACAACAACAACAAACAAACAAACCTAAAAAGAGAGCTACCATATGACCCAGCAATCCTATTGCTGGATATTTACCCAAAGGAAAGAGAATCAGTAAGCCAAGGATGTATCTGTATTCCCATGCTTATTGCAGCACAGGTCATAATAGCCAAGATACAGATTCACCCTAAATGCCTATCAACAGATGAATGGATAAAGAAAATGTGGTATATATAAACAATAGAATATTATTCAGCAATTAAAATGAATGAAATCCTGTCATTTGTGGTGACACAGATGAGCTTGGAGGACATTATGTTAAGTGAAATAAGGCAGGCAAAGAAAGACAAGTAGTGCACATTCTCACTCATATGGGGAGCTAAAAAGTTGTTCTCACAGAACCAGAATAGAATAGTGTATACTAAGGGCTGGGAGAGGGGAGAAAACCAGAGTTTGGTTAATGAATACAAAATTATGGCTAGAAGGAGAGATAAGTTCTATTGTTCTGTAGCTCTGTAAGGTGATTATAATTAACAATAATTTATTGCATATTTTCAAATAACTGGTGGAGTGGATTTTGAATGTTCCCAACACACAAAAAAATGGTTAATGTTTGAGGTGATGGCTATGCTAATTACCCTGATTTGATCATTGCACGTTGTATACATGTGTGGAAATATCACACTGTACTCCATAAACATATATAATTTTGTGTCAATTAAAAATTTTTAAATAAAAAATGATCAAATTCTAAAACTAAAATGGCTGTAAAACTTGGAGTATTTCAAAACTTTCTGGAGCTAGTCTGAAGTTCTTTCAATTTGTTTATTTTGTTTAAACACATGACTCCTGAGTTTGGAAAAATAAAAATATGGATTTGATATATCGATTTGCAGGGTCAGTAATCTCACATTAAGTTAGAATAATTAGGCAAAAGTAAAATTTCAGAATATAGAAATGTTAACATTATTTTGAGCACATATATAATGTGTTATATAATTAAACTATTTTCAACAGAAGGCTGTGAAATGCTCTATTTGTAATATTAATGAGACCTTTATATTTTTAACATTAATCATATGCTAGCAACTGTTGTTCAAGTAGTTTCAGAATACATGAAAACAATTAATTTCCTTGCGATTTTGAGGACAATGTCTGGTCTGCCCAAGGAATAATTATTTTCTACAGATGGTTTAGAATTTCTAATAGATTCTATTCAAGTGATCACAGCTTTCAAATTAGTGAAACTAGCATTTATTATTTATTCCATCTCAAAGATTTGTTTCTGGAGGATTAGAGTTCAAATTCCATCAAGGACATAATGAATATAAGAGTTAACTTCTGAGTTTGAAAATGTGGGTACTCACAATGCCAGTGGTGGCTGGGCACAGTGACTCACACCTATAATCCCAGCACTTTGGGAGGCCAAGGCAGGCAGATCACTTGAAGTCAGGAGTTTGAGACCAGCCCAGCCAACATAGTGAAACCTCGCCCCTACTAAAAAAAAAAATAGAAAAAGTAGCCAGGCACGGTGGCAGGCGCTTGTAAGCCTAGCTACTCGGGAGGCTGAGGCAGGAGAATAGCTTGAACTCTGTAGGTGGAGGTTGCAGTTAGCTGAGATCGCACCACTGCACTCCAGCCTGGGCGACAGAGTGAGACTCTCCCAACAAACAACAACACAATGTCCACGGTGTTTTTGGTAACCTAGAATGAGCTCTGCCCACATTTCCAATCTGTGTCCCTCCTTCTCCCAAGTGTTATTCCTATCTTCTCATCTGTAGCACATTCGAGAGTTCTCATTCAGAGTCTTTTCAAAAGCATCTGTTTCTGTTTTGTTTTGTTTTGTTTTGGAGACAAAGTCTCAGTCTGTGACCCAGGCTGGAGTGCAATGGCGCAATCATAGCTTACTGTGGTCTCAAACTCCTGAGCTCAACCAAACATCCTGAGTATCTAGGACTACAAGTATACACAACCACGCCAAGCTAATTTTTAAATTTCTTTGTAGATATGGGGTCTTGCTATGTTACCCAGGGTGGTCTTGAACTCCTGGCCTCCAGGGATCCTCCTGCCTCAGCCTCCCAAAGCTCTGGTACTACAGGCTTGATCCACTGTGCCTGGCCTCATCCTTTATTCTTCAACCAGTACCCCTTTCTAGTGCAGTCTCTTCTTCCTCTCAGGGATCATGCTTAACTCCTTCAAATCGTTCTGAATATCCCCTGCCAAACACAGTTCTGATCCTGGTATTTCTCTATTCAGACATCTTCTGTGTTTCCCCATTGCCTGAGGTATGAAGTTCAAATTCCTGAAGACAAAGTGAATGCAGGCTGAGTTACACAGTTACGCATTTGTATTAGTCAAGTGGGGAAACAAATTACTCTTATTTCTGTGAATCTTCTCTACATTAATATTTTCATCTGTTGAAATGGGAGACCTGGCCAGGCGTGGTGGCTCATGCCTGTAATTCCAGCACTTTGGGAGGCCAAGGCGGGCGGATCACGAGGTCAGGAGTTCGAGACCATCCTAGCTAATGCAGTGAAACCCCATCTCTGCTAAAAATACAAAAAATTAGTTGGACGTGGTGGCACACGGCTGTAGCCCCAGCTACTTGGGAGACTGAGGCAGGAGAATCGCTTGAATCC